AATGCTTCCTCCAAGCTGTGGAGTCTTGTGAGCAAAAATTCTACTTTGTGAGCTACTGGCATTAAAGTTGTGAGCGAGCGATTTGGCTACTGCATCAATTAGTTTGCTCTGAAGCCCTCCTTCCTGAGCTAGGACAAAAATGTGTGAGCTTGGAGGCTAAATCCTCCAAGCTGTGGAGTCTTGTGAGCAAAAATTCTACTTTGTGAGCTACTGGCATTAAAGTTGTGAGCGAGCGATTTGGCTACTGCATCAATTAGTTTGCTCTGAAGCCCTCCTTCCTGAGCTAGGACAAAAATGTGTGAGCTTGGAGGCTAAAAAACTGTGAACTAGCTCACACTAACTCAACTTAGAGGGAACACTGCTTAGGATCCAGCCCTTTATAAACAAGAAAAATTAGAATGATATTACAGCGTGTTCTATGTTAAATAAATGGTTTCTTGGTTGATCCCGAAAAGCTTTTGAGCGATTAGGATAAATTCCACCCCTGGCATGAGGTATAACTTAATAGAATTTTGAATTAATCTTCTTGCAAGTCCAGAATTCAGTTTTGTGAAACTCTGAATTAGACATTCTTTTCAAGTGTGTTCGTGTCAAACCAATAATTGGTTCAGAAATCTGTAGACTGCCTAATGGGGTCGGCTCAGCAGTCCAGAGCGGAGCAGTGCCTCTGAAACAGCTGTTATCTGCTTTACCGTCAAGCTTTATGGCCTCCTGAGCTACACATTCAGGAAGGGTCATAAAGATGGATTAGATCTTATAAAAGGGCTTTGTTGCTCTAACAGCTTTGATAAACACATTTTGTGCACGATTGTGGTCACGTTTTAGACTAATCTGGCCACTGATCAGTAGGAAAAAACCCTGTGTGTTGAGGCAGTCTGCACATGATAAGACGCCTGGGGATATTCATCCCAAACTATTCCTGAGTATTTTGTTCTGGTTTTCAACCTGCTATTGCAAGCCTGAAACACTGATTTTTCACCCGTTTTGCTTACATATGAGCAAAGTATTAGAAAAGTTCTGTGAGCTACAGTAACTTTGCATGTTGCATTATGGTTTTGGTCTGGAGTATAGTAGGACATCTTCTCTGATCATGTAATAGTGTGGAGGAGGAGGAGGAGATTGGATTTATACCCCGCCCTTCACTCAGAGTCTCAGAGCAGCTTCCCCTCCCCACAGCAAACACCCTGTGAGGTAGGTGGGGCTGAGAGAGCTCTTTCCAGAACTGCCCTTTCAAGAACAGCTCTTGTCAGAACTATGACTTGCCCAAGGTCATCCAGCAGCTGCAGGTGGAGGAGTGGGGAATCAAACACTGTTCTCCCCGATTAGAGTCAGATCACTTAACCACTACACCAAACTGGTCATTCAGGTAAATATCTCCTTTGGCTTTAAAACTTCAAAAATATTCTTAAAACCATGTATTTGATATCTCCTCCCCTCCATGACCAAATTCTGTGGTATTTAAAGTTTCACTGCCTTCATTCATAAATGTGAGATAGTTGAAGCGCTAAAATTTCTGGCAAGCTCCTTGACATTAGATTGTGAATGCTGGGAACTCAGACACAATCTATTTGACAACCTGAATTCCATAAAACAAATTATATGCATACTGCTTATTTGATTTCCGGAAGAAAATTGAAGAAGCATTTGAATAAATTTTAATTGGAAAAGAGCCAGAGGGTTTTAATATAAAACTGGCTTTCAAAAAGCCATTTAGCACACAGATTAAGATCTTCAGCAAAGGTTTTTTGTTGTTATTTATTCATATTTCTATGTTGAATTCAGTACCCTCTTGCCGCTTCTGTAACCAACACACTTCTGACCCGGCATTTCAAATGAAAATAGAAATCCCGTTCTTAAGCTGTATTCAGATGTCTCTAATGAGCTGCAGTTTGTTCATGCCAGTCTTGAGCCAGGTTTAGCCTCTGGCTCGTGTGCTTCCCCATAACATGTGCAGGACTGAGATGGAAGACCTTCCAGGCTTAGTGAATCTTTGACCTGACCAGTTTGGTAGGACATTCAGGTGTTTTAGCCCACCTGGCATTTGTTTCTGACCCATAAAATGCAGTTTTAAACTGAGACACGGATTTGTATTTGTTGGAGTACTGACTTTAGATGTTCCAACCAATACGTTTTCAGAGATTACCACAAAAGGACACCTGCTGCCAAGAAATTTAAGTGCTTCAAGTATGCCTTGCAATGGGAGTGTACCTTGTGCTGTAAATTTCAGAGGTGGTTCCTGTGTTAATGTCACACCTTGAACACTAACAAATATGTTGTTGTGAAAGCTTTTGTGAACTACACCCTACTTCAGATGCACGATGTGTTTTTGAGGCGTGACAAAACTTTGTGTTTTTTTTACTTCTGAAGTCAGGCTGCGGCCAAACCCATAAGACCAGTTATAGAGCCTCAGTCTTCATTCAAAGCGCCGTTTACTTTCGCTGCAGCTTGTTTTTTTACCTGAAAGAAATTAAAACGGCTCCTACTTTGTAAATAAAAACATTCACTCTGTTTTTCTTCAGAGCTTATGTTTTTACTACAACCATGGGTCAACTGTGATAATTTTGAGCCCACTAGATGCTTGGGAGATGCTAGAATGTCAAAAGAGAAACCATGCAGCAGAGTAAACTGTTTTAACAGGAAAACCAAGTTACAGTCACAAATGGCTGTTCGCTGTGTTTGAGTCTTAACAGGGCCCTAAAAATAGTTTGCTGTCTGACATGGGTTGGTGTAATATGGCTTTTCTGACTCTCTGTGCCCTCAGTGATATGTCTTGCTTCAGTTTCCTTAGTGGAGTTTCTGACCTTCTCTACGGCTTGTGTTCTTGCTGATTTTTTTAAAAACATTTTTATCATCCTGTTGCAGGGCATTTCTGATCTGCAATTGTTCTGTGGCCCAACACTTTTATAGCTTTTAAACCAAGAACTGCCTGTTATTCTTAAATTAACATACTCTAAATTGAATGATTGAATTGGGTATTTTTAAGCCAAAAGGTTCTCACCAAATTATCCTCGAGCTGGCTCCTTTCATAGAGTATATGTTAATAGAGAAAGTATCTTACTACTATTGTTATCAGACTTTGTTGCACAGAAATATTTGCAGATCAGCATTGCTGACTACTACAGAATTTTTCCACACTTTTTCATCAGATCCTCAGTTTGTGCTTTTGTATTTCTGCAGTAAAATTCTGTGCATCAAACAATTTACTTCCATTTGGTAGATGTGATGTACTCTAGCTACCCCGTTCTGTTTTTGAACAAGGAAAAAAACCCCGCAAACTGAGTGAATCTTTTTTCCATACACTCTCGTGTCCAAAAGATTGTCCTCAGGAAAAGGGAGTTTTCTGTACATGTTTTCCAAAGATACACAGTCCTTATAATTTAGCCGATCTCTTCAAACACACCTTTTGCATAATGATCTGAAGCTGAGTCTCTTGGGATATTCTAACATAATGATTTTCAGTAATTCCCTGAAAAATAAGTATATTTTCATTTGTGGCTTCATGGTCGCACTGTTTAAGGTCTGTAATCTGGTTGCCTGTGTTACCTCAACCAGTGAATTAACCCTTTCACTATGTTCCCGTGGAGCCGTTTGAAGGTTAGGTACGCCGCTCCACACAAATCGCATTCCACAGAATAGTCACCACCCCATCAGATGATTTCAAAATGGCCTCCAATATAGTAGCAGCCACATGCACACTTCCTCTTTAGACCCTGTAACTGCTGGTGATTACGTTCTGTTTACATGATTTGCATCTTCGTCAGGGTGTGCCCTCAGAGCAAGACACTCTCATAGAGCTTCACCCTCTCTTATTTTTAACTTTTCGACAGTAGTGCGCGTTCATACTCCGTGGGGAACTTTCCAAACAAAGTAGAGACGGCAGCAATGCCTTGCTAAACCCGATAGCATTCCTTGTCAGACCGCTTAAGTTATGAAGATCAGATCCTAATGATGGAAAACCTTCACCAGTTTGCTTCAGTCTAACTCTGCTGCATGCGTTCATGAGTCCCATAAAGATTGCATGCTTTGTCTTTAATACAAATTGTATTTTATTTTCATACCCATCCTTGCTTTTTTATATTTCATTTTTTTGTTTCCCTGTTCTTGGTTGGATGCCTGTATATGTTTAATCCAATCCTTGTCCAGTCCTGGAGTTTGAACTACGGAAAGCAAGGGAGACCATTCAGGCCCTCCGAGCCAACCTGACTCAGGCTGCAGGTGGTGTACATAAACCTTTTCCTTAGTATTTGTATTTTGACAAAATAGCAGAGGCTGGAGCCTTACGAAATGGAGAATAATACCTTTTGTGTATTGCTGTTTACAGAAAATGAAGTTCCTTTGCAGGAACGGAGAAATTACAAATCAAGTCCTGAAATTCAGGTAGGTAACTACAGAGGCCTTCGCTTGTTGTTACCTTATGTTAGTGTTACAGTTACTCACTCACCTCTAGGATAGAGATGTAAAATTTCTGGAAATTTTGAAGCTCGGGAAAAAACCCGGGTTTTTTCGGGGGGAAACGGAAATTTTCGGGAAAATTGAAAAAATGCTACATTAGCATTTCTTTTGTCTTTTCTAGATTGAAAGTCATTCTGTTACTTTAGGAACATAAAATATGACTATGGACATTTTTACTTGGCATGAAATTATCACAACTAGCATATTAAAAATATAGTGTATCCAAACAGTTATTACAAACAGAATACCCGCCCACATGCAAAAACAAAACTGAAACATTTTTCTTTTCTTCTGACAATAGCACCTCCTAAAGGAAGAAATGCATCTTGTTCTTGCATTGGAGAGTTCAGTTTGTAACCTAGGACTTGCTTGTCTGCAGTGCAGAGAAATTAGATCAATCTGATACCATATATATATATATTTTAGAAATGATTTGGAAAATATTTGAACACCTTGTTTTGAAATATTTTATTCATTATGTTAAAATAAAACGTTCCATAATCAATTTTTTTCTTTTCTTTCTTTTTCCAATTTTTCGGAAAAAAACAAAAAAAGCTTCAGGGGAAAAACGGAAAAAAACCCGTTCCCCCCCCCGAATTTTTCCGGTTTTTTTCCGGGCCTTCACATCTCTACTCTAGGCAAGTGCATTTCTGATCACACCTTTCAAAACAGCTCTATAATTCATAGGTGTACATGATTGAGCAGTTTTAACACTATGTAGGCCAGCAAACATTTATATTTATCTTTATTGCTGTCCTAAAATCTGTGGATCGTAATGGGGACCAACATTTAATAAACCTGTAATAATTGTTTGTTCTTGTTCCTAGGAACCAATTAAACCTCTTGAAAAAAGAGCTCTAAACTTCTTAGTCAATGAATTTTTATTAAAAAATGGTTACAAGCTGACTTCAATAACTTTTTCAGATGAAAACGACGATCAGGTGAGGTTGCATAGTGTTCACTTTTATAGCTGAAGTTTTTAGGCATTCATTTTTATGGCTGTTTTCTGATGTTGCTTCCAATAATTTGCGTCTTCCCTTTTTCCAGATTACCTAATTAGATACCTGTTTTGTGAGAGAAGTGGATGCAGGGTTATTTTCCTGTTCATAGTAGGAAGCAAAAAAGCATAGCTAGCTTCTGTTTTAGTAGAGTAGAAGGATGCCCAGATGCCAGTAATCAACATGGCAGTCTCTTTGAACATTAGAAATATAGGATGATGTTACTGTCCTAAGTTATAATGCTGTGAAGATGATTAGTTGGCTATGGGCTGTGAACATGAGAAAATCTTACTAATAACTTCTAGTCTAGTACTCCCCAGATAGTTGCTCTGGGGAAAATGAAATTTTGCTAAAATCTAATTATGTCCATAAGATCTTGATGAATGAGGTAGCACAGACTGAAGGTTACTGAAAACAAAAGTGTCCTTGTAACAAAGTCTGGACTCCGTAGCTTGTAGCTTGTACATGTGGCATTTTACTCAAATACCTTATATATCTATATACCTCCAATACGTCTGTACACCTCCCCACCACCATTTAACAGAACTATATCAATGACCAAGCTAGTTTAGGATGAGAAAACTTGTCCAAGGTTAGTTTGTCTGTTTGGGCTCCACTTTCATTCAATATATTTGCACGATCTGTTCTTTTAGTAATAATTCTGTGGACCACATTGACACCCTTGGGATTTTCTTTTCTTTCTTTTTCGCTGTAACGCTGTACTTGTCCTTCAAATAATTGCTATAGTCTATAAGAATTTAGTTTTGCTGCCTTCAAACAGGCATATCTCAGTTACTTAAGAACAGCCTTCCTGAATTTCTGAGGGCCTATCGCCTTATGGCACATTGTTCTCATCCCATCTGGTCCCAACATGGCTTTTCTCTCTGTGTCTGCTGATGGTTAAAACAGCTGAGGAAATGGTGGTTTTCCTCCTTGGTTTGAGGCATCCATGTGTGATCAGCTTCCTCATTCTGCCATGAATCTAAGATCTGTTTGGTTTGCCGGGTGTCAGACCAAGTTTTATTACTCCAGACGAATGAATTTGCTAGTTATTAAATCCAAAGCACCCGAAGGCTGACACAGAGAAACTGAGCTGGCTGTTAGTAGCTCAGTAGAAACCATTTTAGTGTTGTGAGGCCGAAGTTCTGTTTGTGTCCATGAGAAGAACCATGGACAGGAAGAGCACCACAAACCTTTCTGCTTTTGCCCTTCCAAAGGATTTTGAGCTGTGGGATGACGTGGGACTGAACATTCCAAAGCCCCCAGACTTGCTCCAGCTCTACCGTGATTTCGGGAACCACCAAATATCCGCAAAGGACGTTTCGGATGTCGCCGTTGGCACAGAGGAGGACGAGTTAGACGCCACCACTCCTATCCTTGAGACCATTCCCCTGTTTGGAACGCCACAATCCATAGAGGTAGTGAAACGTAGGCTGCGAGCACACGAGCAGGAAAATGCGGGGGGGGGGGGGGGGGGCTGTTTGCCCCGGGGCTTAAAAACGTGCGATTGCGCGAGCAGACCCACCGTGGAGGTCCCGTGGTAGGGGGGAGGTGCCGATCACTCCACAGTCCTGTAGCGCGGCAAAGAAGCGGGGCGCGGGGCAAATGGGATTGGTTGTGTGTTTTTTAACTCAAATGTGCGCATGCTCCCTTGGCTGCTTGTGCGCATCTGTGGAGACTTTGAAAAAAAACAACCTTTTTGCGAGGGGACATGGGCAGGCACCGGAACTACCACTGGAAACGCGATCAGATGCCCGCCCTTGCCTCACGGTTTCAGGAAACTAGTACCTCCAAGGTACTAGTTTTTTTACTGTGCATCTTCGGCGGGAAGCCTCGGGTTCGCCATGGGAGCTTGACGCTTCCCAGATGTGGCGGTGAGATCGCGCCCGGAAAATCCGCCTATCTTCCGTCCCTCTAGCGTGCCTAATGCTCCATGTGACCGCAGCCGTAATTCGCTTTTGCACATCGGAAAGCCTGCTGCCCCGGAATACAGTACAGCAAGTTATGTTTTTCCCCCTCCCATCTTTTCCCTCTTGTTTAGCAATGTGTAATGGTGCAGAAATTGGAAGATCAAATTAACGCGTTAAGCACGGAGAAATGGTCTCTGATGGAACAGATACAAAGGCTGGAAAGGTATGTGCTGTCACACTGTAGCTTGTGAGGCTTCTTTTTTTGGTATCCAGTGAAAATGCAGTTGGTAAAATAGATGGATCACTAGATAGTCAGTAGTTTCCCTAATTAACAAGAGTATTTTGATAATCTAGGTTGCCCTCTTGATTGTTATGGGAAACCTTGGCCATGCCAAGCTTTCTCAGGATGATGTGCTATGGAAGCCCTGAAAAGAATAGGTGTTGTGCTAGACCATGTGCCTTCCTCCTATCTTAGTTCTTAGTTGCTGTTTTCAAAGGAAGGGATGCAGTCGTGCCTAGAGCGGACGCCAGTGGTAAAGAGTGCTGGGGGCTTGGAACGTGGCAAGGTATTTAATTGGATGTCAAGTGTTGTTGTTGGTTTTTATGAAAGGTAACACCCACCCTTCCAGTTTAATTGCTTCCAATTACTTTTCATCCAGCACACAGTAGCATTTTTAAAATTCTTATAACTCTTTTTGTTTGCTTACCTAGTCAAACTCAATGAGAGGTTGACATGTCGCTACTACTGTTTGCTGCTTGGTGTGGATAACCAGGGGTTACTTTTTTTTATTATTATTAATTTTTCTAAAATAACAATCAACAGAAACATTTCAAACACAAACCATAACCTAAACTGTTACATATTACATATTCATAAAGCTTTGAAAGCCCAATACAAAATATTCATCTGAAGTTTTTTCTAATACATGTATCACAAACAGATCTTCTCAATAACATTAACAGAGCCCATTCTTTTTGTATAAATGCATAATATTGTGAATTTTGTGCTGTATTTATATTTTCTAATATAAATTCCAAGTTTTCCAAAACGGGACGCCATCTGCCGAAGAAATCCAGAGATTTAGTACAGTCTTCTAAGCCAGAAAGCCTTTCTGAAATTTTGTCCATTAGGAAATGTTCCCATATTTTAGAATACCATAATTTTATTGGTATCGATTTACTGCTCTTCCAAGTCTGTGCTATTGTTGTTTGTGCGGCTGCTATCAATATTGTAAGCAATTCTTTGGAATATAAAGGAATGGAAATATCTTGCCAATTGTGTAGTAATAACCAGGGGTTACTTCATGTTCCTAGACAGACTGGCATCAGTCAGGTCTCCTCTTCCACCATGTTTGAACTACAATCACAGACACACTCACAGACACACAATATTCTAATACTGCATGGGGGGTATAACACGTTGGACTGAGCATTCCAAAGCCTCTTGACCATGGGGTGGATATGACAGTTATATGGATTTTCTGTAAAATATCACGCTTGTCAATTTCTGAGTTGACTTCAGAGAATGCAGTAATGTTACTTATCTGCTTACCGGCAATTTGTGATGTTAAAGAGGAGTCCACAGAGCTTTCTTCCAAAGCCTTCAAATCCTCCTTAGGTTCCCACCTTGTAAAATAGTCTGCATAAATGCTGTGTGACACATTTTTGAGAAACGCTGCTTAATATGCTTCAAGGCAGTGATTCATTACTGGAGGTGACTTATTCTTTGCTAGTGTTTCATACAACAATCTTCTGATTAGTAAGGGAAGCTACAACCAGCTCTTTTTGTTTCCCTCTTATAGTGAAATAGACTACTTAAGGAATGAAAAACCTGCTGTTCCCGTAATATGCGATTCGGTCCAGTCGTCTCTAGTTCAAGTGCCTCTCACATTCCCTGATGATAATGGAAGATATTTGGATATCAAGAGTTCTGCCACTGACAGCAACCATGGGGAAACTGAAGAGGAAAGGCTTTTCACAGGAACTGAACCTGAATCCAGACTTCCTAAGGATAACACTAAGAGTTGTCTCCCTAATAAGGAGAGAGAAAAACTTCCGTCTTGTCCCCCGTCCATTAAAGCTGCCGTACACTTTGATAAACCCAATAGGTTAGTGATTCTTCAAAAAGTCTCTCTCATCTTTAGAATAAGGATACCAGTTTTGACTCTTGAATGGCTTTAGCACTTACTCTATATGAGGCATTTAACAATGCACGGGCAATCCATATTTACTGCATAGTCCTCAACAAAGCTTTTATAGGATTACTTTTTCTTTTGGGGTGCAGAAGCTCAGTAGCCCCTTTGAGACATAAAAATGCTACCTTGCTGGACGTCTTAAGAAAATGAGAAGCTATATAGAGCTAACAGAACTTCTAACTAGGAAATACTAATCTAGTCTCTCCAGCTTCTGTGTTGTATAAACCAGCTTTCTCATATATCATAATGTTTCTTATTTGAACCATATGTTCAGTACAGCTGAGCTATTCAAAGTGTAGAAAGCTATTTTCCTTAGTAGCGGGAACTGTAGTAGCAGACATTGTAAGCCAAAACTCTAGCTTGCAAGGACAGTTCTTTCTTGATCGGAGTCTACTATAGTCCTGTATGCGCAACATGGGTAGAAGGCCATGTGCGTAGAGGGGGAGCACAACATCTGTAGAGGACAACATGCATGGGACGGCCCTGTCCTATGTGCTTTTTCTATACTATGGACATATAGACTGTCTACACATTCCTCATTGACCAGGAGTGTTGCTTTTCAAGCATTCACAATCACTGGAGTGGAGCCTCACATACACACAGTCTGTGTGCATACAAGCAGAGTGGTAACGTTAGACTGTGGCTACATAGGTGCACGGGCAGTGATACTTCCCCGATACAAGTGTTGCCTCCTACTCATATTTCACAAGTATAAGACTGTAGCATACTACCAGAGAGCCAGTTTGGTGTAGTGGTTAAGAGCAGCTAACTCTAATCTGGAGAAGCAGTTTTGATTCCCCACTCCTCCACACTCAGCTGCTGGGTGACCTTGGTCCAGTCACAAGTTCTCTCAGAGCTGCTCTCTCAAAAGCAGTTCTCTTAGAGCTCTCCCAGCCTCCCGTACCTCACAAGGGTGTCTGTTGTGGGGAGGGGAAGGGAAAGGAGATTGTGAGTCGCTCTGAGACTCCGAGTGAAGGGCGGGGTATAAATCCAACTCTTCTTCTTCGATGTGGGGAAGCATTGCAGTATTCAGATGGCATCGGTAGTTGGTGACTTCACATCTGGGTGCATCTCAGAGTAGACTGTCCTTTTCCTCTGCTGCCGTTCCCCCGTCTGCCAAAATAGTATCCGGTCTACTTTGTCTCCTGTCCAGTCCTTACACAAAGAAATACATGAGGAAATTCAGGAACTAGAGCTGAAGAAGCTTCTAGAGAGCCAGTTTGGTGTAGTGGTTAAGTGTGCGGACTCTAATCTGGGAGAACCGGGTTTGATTCCCCACTTCTCCACTTGCACCTGCTGATGTGACCTTGGGTCAGTCACAAGCTCTGGCACAGCTGTCCTTGAAAAAGAGCAGTTTGTGTCAGAGTTCTCTCAGCCCCACCCACCTCACAGGGTGTCTGTTGTGGGGAGGGGGAGGGAAAGGAGTTTGTAAGCTGCTCTGAGACACCTTTGGGTAGCGAAGGGCGGGGTATAAATCCAATCTCTTCTTCTTCTTCCAGAGAAACGTGTTCAAATTGAATTGCATGTTGCAGGTAACATAAGCATGCTATCTGAAAAGGCTCCAGTTTGCCGCGTTCTCTTTCAGTGTGTACAAGCCCTTACCCAAGCCAGGGTACTGTATTATGTGTTTTCCTTATTCTCACTAACAGAGCGTGATGGTAAGTGGGAAAGGAACTCAGCCTGTAGGTGCCATTTGCACCAACCTCCCTATCGCAGCCACAGTGTGTAGCTCTGCCTTTGGGTCATTAAGTCCTTTTGCAGAACTATGACCGTGGGCCAGCACCAGCCACTTTTCTGTCCAACCCCAAGAGGCAGGGTTGGAGTTACCAGCCCAGCCTCTTTAGTAGCTGCAACCCCCACCTCTTCGAAAGGGCTTTCGGGGCACTCAGAAAGCCTGACCAAAGAAGTGGGGTTGCCGCTGCTCAAGGACTTGGTGGCTCGAGCCCTGCCGCTTGAGCCAGGCTCTTGTGCTTTCCCCTGCCTGTTTGGCAAGGCTTTAGGAGCACTGGGAAGGCAGGGCTGCAACTCTTTAGGGATAGCTCCAGGGTCTTTGTAAAATGGGGTGACCCTGCCTCTGTCTTGGGCCAGCCCACTGGGACTGTTGGCTTAAGGGGGCCCCCCCAAAAGTAAAAATGTTTGGGCGCTCCTGATTTGGCATGTGTATCTGTCGTATCATTTTTTGTCTAAAACAAAACATGGTTGCTAATAAATCATTAGAAAAACTCCAAGGGCATTGTGTACATTTTCCTAAGCAGAGATCATTTTGCGGGGGAACGCAATGATGAAGCCCCGCCCCCTGCTTCCGGCCGCCCCGCTTCCAGCCCTCATTCAGCCAGGAGGAGGCAGGAGAAGAGGGAGGGTAAGTTGCTTCCTCCCCGCCTCTCCCCACCCCTGCCTGCCTGGGGCCAGGGAGGGCCTTCGCAGGTCTTCCTTGCACTCCCGCCGGCCTTGCAGGTCCACCGCCAGGCCCCTGATGTCAAGGGGTGTGGCATATGCTAATGAGTTCCCCTAGCTCTTTTTCTATGAAATGACCCCTGTTCCTAAGTATATAACCCATGTCAATGAAAGTACAGTGGAGCAATGTGTATTGCAACAAAGGGCTAAAGCACACAGTGGGTTGGATCCTCCAGAACTTTTCGGGAACTGATGGTGCTTTTCTCCAGTACAAAGTTCCTTCGCTGAAGACGTTTGTCAGAACTTCTGCAGTATCCAGCCCCAGTGTCTTGTGTATCTCTCCATTGGCAATAGGTGAGTGGAAATAAGACTCAAACAGCAGCCAGTGCGTTTGGACATGTTGGTTCTCACTTAATCTCAGAAAAATGCACCTTCACACCAGTGTTCCCTCTAAGCTGAGTTAGTGTGAGCCAGCTCACAGTTTTTTAGCCTCCGTCTCACACATTTCTGTCTTAGCTCAGGAAGGATGGCTCCAGAGCAGACTAATTTATGCAGCAGCCAAATCGCTCGCTCACGACTTTAATGCCGGCAGCTCACAAAGTAGAATTTTTGCTCACGAGACTCCACAGCTTAGAGGGAACATTGCTTCACACTATAAACTGTCATCTGTTACTGGTATCATCCACGGATAATGCTTCTTCAAACATAGTGGCTGAACATGTTTTTCTCACGTAAACCTCAAGATGCGAATGTATTTCGGGTGAGACTTGATAATGAAATCTCATTTTAGAAACTAACACTTTTAAGTGGTGGTAGATATAACAGCAGTTTCCTGAGAACTTCTTTTGTGTTCTGGAAGTGAGAACAACTTTCCTTGTAGTCGAATAGTGAGAAGCTGTTTGTCTGTGAAATATTGCCTAGAACAGGGGTGGCCAAACTTGCTTAACAGAAGAGCCACATAGAGTGAACGTCAGATGTCTGAGAGTCGCAAGACATGAACAAATATGACACACACGTTTTTATTGGAAAATATGCAAACTTTATTAAAATTAAATTGATAACTTTAGATGGAGAGGGAGGGCAGAAAAAGAGAGAAAGAACGAAAGGTGGAAGGATGGATGGATGGATGGATGGATGGATGTAAGGAAGGAAGGAAGGAAGGAAGGAAGGAAGGAAGGAAGGAAGGAAGGAAAGCAAATAGTTGGGGGAGGGAGAGAGAAGTGGAAAGAAAGCAACTTTAAATGCATCCTCCAAGCCCCGCCCCCCTGCTGGTTAGCTTGGTTTGGAGGAGGGGTTTAAAGAGACAGATGCCTTCTCCGAGCTAGCGGTGGGGAGGGGGCTTTGAGAATGCATTTAGTTTCTTTCTTTCTCTGCACTGGCTGGGGAAGGGAAGATCAATTGGGGAGGCATGCCTCCCCTTTGCTTCCCCAGCCACCCTAGCAGGAGCCACACAATAAGTGTAAAAGAGCCGCATGTGGCTCCCGAGCCACAGTTTGGCCACCCCTGGCCTAGAAGCATTGGGGGGGGGGGATTTTGGGCCATAGGGAGAAGTGGGAAGTTGCGCTCCACAGATGGAAATCCCTTCTGGTGCCCAGAAACTTTCCAGTGGGTACAAACCATTGTAGCTGTGTTGAACTATAGCCACGTTTTGTTATTGCCACTTTGCACTGAGAGGTGTGGTACTGATATTCTAAAGAAAACATTTTCTTAATAAGCCTTGAAAGTCCGCTACACACTTCTGCATACCTGCATTCTCCCAAGTAACCAAGGCTCGTTCTCTCACACCAGTCAGGATTTTAAGAATAACACTTAAATCGTGCTAAGATCCAAAGCTCTGCTTTGGAGCTTCTCGGCCTCTTCTTCTGGTAGTGGATTCCCCATGGTCTCCACCATCCTATTTCTGAAACGCGACGCAGAACAAAGTATCTTATGCAGCTGCGTGACGAATCTTAAGCAGATGGGAGCGAAGAAGGAAACACAGTTGCGTACAGGATGCGCCTCTCTGGCCCCAGAACATGGCTTTGGATTCCATGGATCTGCTCTACTTGCAGAGGCTCTTACCTCTGGCCGAAGGAGCCATCGTCTCAAGCAAGGCACTCAGAAATGTCTCTTGCATTGGGGCGGGGGGGAATCTACTGCCAGGGGAAAGTACCTCTGTTAGCAAAATGGATCTGTGGGATCCCGCCTCATCTGCAGCGTCACACCGTAACTGCTGAGACCGCCACTAATGTCTTCGTATATTGTCTTAAGAGGCCCTCTGGTAATGTGCCCATTACAAGCGTACAGATGCAATTATCTTGAAATGAAACGGTCTGTCCCACAGCCTTAGATGAGGACTTCGATGCCTAAAAGACACACACACCCTTTTCTCTGCTCTTAGTATCGCCTTGGCGAAGTTAGCAAAGGCACAGAGTGGGAAAGAACGTTTTCCAGTGCTTTATTTTTCTGTAGAAAATTATACCATCTCTGAAGTTTCATTGTTTTATAAAACTTACGGTGATTAATGGGTGCCATTCCCAATGAAATATTAGGCAAGCAGGTAAATATAGCTCAAAAAATGTATGAGGGTGTGCGTGTATGCTTTAAAAGGTAAAGGTTCCCTTGCTCGAAAGCCAGTCGAGTCCGACTCTAGGGTTGCGGTGCTCATCTCCGTTTCCAAGCCGAAGAGCCAGCGCTGTCTGAAGATGTTTCCGTGGTCATGTGGCCGGCACGACTAAACACCAAGGCGCACGGAACGCTGTTACCTTCCCACCGAAGTGGTACCTATTTATCTACTTGCAATTTCTTGCTTTCGAACTGCTAGGTTGGCAGGAGCTGGAACTAGAGACGGGAGCTCACTCCGTCATGCGGCACACTCGGGTCTCGAACTGCTGAACTACCGACCTTCCACAGCCTGCAGTTCAGCGTCTTAACCACTTGAGCCACCGCAGCTCCTGTATGCTTTACTGATTTGTAAAAAGGGGGATGAAGCCAAAAATGCATATAATAATCAAAATTTTTAAAACATCAAGGCGTGAATCCACCTAACTGGCTATGAATATCAAATCACAACCAAAACTGTTACCTCTGGGTCGCCTCTCGCAAGATGGAAGGAGTGTTGCAGTCACCTGTCCAATTTGGAACGAACGCGTTATCTCACATAGAGTGATGTCGCAGTAGAGGCGACGGTATTATCCTAAGCAGAATTTACGCCCTTCTAAACCCGGAGCTGCGGTGGCTCAAGTGGTTAAGACGCTGAACTGCAGGCTGTGGAAGGTCGGTAGTTCAGCAGTTCGAGACCTGAGTGTGCCGCATGACGGAGGGAGCTCCCGTCTCTAGATCCAGCTCCTGCCAACCTAGCAGTTCGAAAGCAAGAAATTGCAAGTAGATAAATAGGTACCACTTCGGTGGGAAGGGAACAGCGGTCCGTGCGCCTTGGTGTTTAGTCATGCCGGCCACATGACCACGGAAACGTCTTCGGACAGCGCTGGCTCTTCGGCTTGGAAACGGAGATGAGCACCGCAACCCTAGAGTCGGACTCGACTGGCTTTCGAGCAAGGGAACCTTTACCTTTTTAAACCCGTTGGTTCAAAGGGTGTTTTGGGCACCTATGGTTAGGATGGCACTGCCAGCAGCCCCCACAGAAGTGGGTTAAATCCTGTTGAGACAGATGAGTGGCAAGCAAGTCTGCAGCTTCTCATGCGTGGTTAGGGTTGCTGGCTCAAGGCTGGTAAATATCTAGATCTTTGGAGGATGAAGCCTGGAAAGGGTGGGGCTTGGGAAGGGGAGGGGCCTCATCAGGGTGTAATGCTATAGAGTCCATCCTCCAAAGCAGCTGTTTTCTCCAAGGGAACTGATCTCTGTCATCTGGAGATCAGTTGTAATAGTAGGGGGTTTCCAGGCACCACCTGGAGGTTGGCAACCCTGTGCATGGTTCTTTATGTGTACTGCAAGGAGGAGGAGATTGGATTTATACCCCGCCCTTCATTCAGAGTCTCAGAGCGGCTTACAAACTCCTTTCCCTTCCCCTCCCCACAACAGACACCCTGTGAGGTGGGTGGGGCCGAGAGAGCTCTGACAGAAACTCAAGGACAGGTCGGACAGAACTATGGCTTTCCCCTAGGTCATCCAGCATCTGCAAGTGGAGGAGTGGGGAATCAAACCCGGTTCTCCCAGATTAGAGTCCACGCACTTAACCACTACATCAAAACCACTACACCAAAGGAGACAACAAGCAACCATGAACCAAGGCTAAAAATACCAGGTTAGAGTCCGTGCACTTAAACACTGCACCAGACTGGCTGCTCAGTGCCTTTTTCTTCCTCTTAATCTCAAGCAGTCTAAGGCGAGTGCATGTCACGTCTACTTTTCCCCCAAAATAGTATTCCACTGAAGTAATTTCCACATAAAGTTTTTGGGTTTTGTTTCCTAATCAAGGGTGGTTTAAGTGAAATATACAAATATTTCAGTTCAAGTGTTTGTTGCTGTTGTGACAAAATTAATTTGGGGTGGTACTTAAAATTTCGTTGACCAAGGAGAAGCCAGAATAAATTTGTTAAGTCAGGTCATGCTGTGTGTAGGGGGGTCCAAAAATACTCTGGATTCCCCCCCCCCCCCGGAAATTGCTTTCTCTCTCAGATTTTCTGGAAAACGTTCCAAGTCCTAATTTTTAAAAATTATTTTCCTCGTATTGCCAGTACAATTTAATAATGTTTTTTGAACTGTGATGTAGCTGTTGCGAGAAAAAACTTGCAAGACTTTTTCGTCTAGAAAGTAGTTTAAAATTCTACAGGTGTATATATATCAGGGCATTTTTTGTAGAAAAAGCCCAGCAGGAACTCATTAGCATAATAGGCCACACCCAACAGTAGAAACTCATAAGCATATTAGGCCACACCCTGACAGCACCGCTCATTAGCATATTAGGCCGCACCCCCATGTTACCAGAAATGTGGTCATCCAGCCACACCCACCTTTTGCTTCTTCTGTTTACCTTGTTTGTTGTCAAAGCCTAGGGCTTTGTTTGTAGCACGAACTCCTTTGCATGTTAGGTCACACACCCCTAATGTAGCCAACCCTAATGAGTTCCTGCTGTTGGGTGTGGCCTATTATGCTAATGAGTTCCTGCTGGGCGTGGCCAACTCGGGAGCCAGCCGGAACTCCGTTCCTGTGCGTTCCTGCCCAGAAATAGCCCTGATATATATCATTTCCTGTTCGCTTTCAATGATGAAGCAAATAGGCGTTCTGTACTAGTAACTTGCTGACTGTGTTTTCCGTTCCCTGCCTTTATTTCCCACAACCATCATTGAAACACGACATCAGGAAGCTGTCGCCTGCATTCCACCAAGCGTTGCTGTCCTTCTGTCAGATGTCAGCAGAAAGCCGTTTGGGATCAGAGGTACGTGTAGTCCTTTAGTGACGCATTAAAGCTCAGCGAACCGTCTGTGCCCAGGAGACCGTTTCAGTTTTAATCTTTGACGTCTGCTTGTGTCAGAGACTTAGAAGAGTTCTTTTGAAAAGCTGGAGGAGCTGTATGCTGGCTTAATACTTGTGGCTGGCCTGTTCTCAGAAGCACACAGGAGAAGATGCTGTCGTGGGCAGCGGGTTATCTGCAGAAATGCTACCCGTGTGGAAGCATCAGTTCATGCATATGGACTCAGCTTTGACCTCCCAGAGACAAGAATACTTGCACGACCCAACTAGACGGCACCTGAGTGCCGTATCAGATGTCAACTTTGAATATCTGAGGGGGACTCCCAGTGACTTCATTTTAAGCACTGCGTAGTGCCATTGCTGTGCACAGGGGTCATTTCCTGCAGGAGTGCACAGGAGCGGAGCTCTGGTAGTAAAGAGCCCAGGGGGCGGACACATGCAACAAGCCCCACCCCCTGCTCCCAGCAGCCCTCAGTCAGAGCAAGAAGCAGCCAGGTAAGCTGCAGAGCCCCCCCCCCCGGCCCAAAACAGTCTAGTGGCACCTTTAAGACCAA